TTTACTGCCAAAAAGTCTGCCAAGGAGGAAAATGACCAGGAGCAGGAGAACAATCTACATGCCGAAGAGATGAATGGAAACCAGTTACAGCAGCTTCTGACCGACGTTCAAGACATTCTCAGCAAACAAGAGACTTAATGTTAATTTTGGCTAGGTTGTTGCTAGGCAAATAATTTGGCATCACAATTCACACATTTTTATTAACCTCACCTGAGTGCCCATGAAGTTTAGAATGTTATAGAAATTATATTGTTTGGGAAAGTTGACGTTGAGCTATAGTTGATTGTTGCTATGTGGTTGCTAGGGGAATTTTATGATAATAAAATGCCTTGTTTGCACAAATGAATTGATCAGAAACAACTACAGTATTAAAAGTAATATATTTACTTTAAACCATGAGCTATTGGTAACCTAAACGATAGGATCAGGGTGGGGGGGTGTTATTTGAGAAGCCCTTTGTATACACACTGTATACCCATATTTTATTCAAATTGGCTCACTCTTTATAAAGATATTGGTATTCTTAGACAAAAGGGGTATGTCACATTTTTGCTGTAATTTGTTTTTTATTTTTGTCAATGAAATTTAAAATTTTTGGTTAGGAATACCTTTGAACCTACAGTGATAATTTGGGGAAGTAAAAAAGGCTAATGTTGGTTCCACTTGCCCATTTCTAGGTGGTTGCTGGGGAAATAATGTGACATCACAATGCTCATTGGGCAGAAATATATTGCTTTTAATAAAATAACTTTTCTGTAGCTCAAGTGAGTGCCTACGATGTACGAAATGCTAAGAATTACATGTACAGTATATTGGCTAGAATAGCTAATTTTTGGCTATATTTCTTCGTTGCTATGTTGTTGCTAGGGAAATAATATAATAATACAATGCCCTCAATGCCACTTGTTCATAATTGAATAAGTAACAACTATAAAAGACAATATCTTAACCTTAATTCAATGTTAGAGATATGTAATGTGTGATTAAACTTTGTAAATATGTCCAAAATTATTAATTTCGGTAACTTTTTGCCTATCACTAGGTGAAATACTGTTAAACCACAATGCCCATGGCAACAATTTACAATGATATTTGTAAGCTTAGTATTCCAGAAGCTTAGCTGAGTGTTTAGCTGCCACTTCTGCAATGCTATCATATATTTTCTTACTCTAGGGGTGTACACCTTCCCAAAAATCACCATGGCGATTATTCCCCTGATTTGGTACCGACCAACCCCCCAGGCTGATCGCTAATAGGATGCATTTTTCTAAATTGAGGTAAGTATTTCTGTTTTTAGCTAGAGAGGATGGGAGATGCGTTAACATGCTAAGTTTACCAAGATCATAATCCTTACTTTGAATATAAGCACGAGGGGAAAGTCTACCCGTGTATATACAACCTACCGCCGAGCAAGACACGCATATACCGCCTATCAAATGTTTGGTTAACTAGATCTCAGAAGAATGTACAATAAATGTAATATTGGACCTCTATCAATTCCCTTGGATGGTTAGAATCGTTACTAAGATGTTCTAGCAGGCGGAATAGGCCTAGAATTATAGTTGAAATATATTCGTTATGTCCAAATTAAGAGATAAGTTAAGCGTATAATGGTCTTCGATTTGTTTTTCTCATTCATACTCGCCTTAATTGATCATGAGCCATACATAAGACATACTTGGGCCGGTAAATGTATGTCATATGTAAAATATATTAAGTGTCAAAATATTAGGTCAAAATAGCACTTTTGAACAGCAAAATCTTCACATAAACTTTGTCCTAAAAGATCCGATGTTATCGGACATCGGACCCGATGTGATCAATATATATATTATAAAGATCCGAAAATATCTTGAGTAAATGATCTCAGAATCCGAACATTACTTAATGAGTAAAATCTGTTGAGATCCGATTATATCGTCGATTCTATGACATGCTGATGACGAAATAGTGTTAGCGTTACTTTTTGGAGTTTTCGAACCTTGATTTAATTGCCTTTATAAGAAGGGTTACTCCTTATTAATACTATTGTAACATGTTGACCCAGACTGACACAACATTGGAGGATAGGAAAAGCGCAGAATTGCGTTCAAATCAATTATGAATATGATCTTTCTTCATTTTAGGAGTCGTTGTACTGATTTTTTAGTCAAACTTGAGAGCGAATGAATTGCATTTAAATCAATTATTATCCATATTTATGGATAAAAATGAATATGTGTCACGTTCCTAATCTCTACTGGTCAATCTTTTTTTCATTTTAGTAGCCTTTGTCCTGATATCTTATTTTATTCAATATTGAGATCGAATGAGCATAACGGGTGAACTTTGCACATTTTAGACCAATCAAAATATATTTTTCATACGGTTACCGTCTTGGTAGATACAAAATAACACGCTCCAAACGTATTGGATTATGAGCATAGTCAGATAGAAGTGGTGATAAATTCGAAATAAATTTTACACATACTGTGTAAATTTCAATAAAAAATACAACAGACTAACAAAATGAGAGCGATTTTCCGGGAACTTATTGAACGACCTGGTATTTGCATTTCTAGCTTCTTCAAATGTGCATTGAACTAAAATTGTGAGAGCCATCTTAGATTTGTTATATTTTTGTGTATGATTTTGATTGTATTTGATATGTTGCAACAAAACATTTTTTGTATGAATTTGATAAGTGAGATATGTATTATTGCATCATGGTCATGTTCACTTCTAGAAAAGACAGTGTGTTATATGATAATTGCTGGAATTACACATGGCGTTTTAAAAAAGCTTTTAACATGGGCTATATCAGACTTTTAACCAGGTTTAAGAATCAGGAGTTATCACGATTGCGGTTTTACAAAAGCGCTTTTCTAAAAATCCAAGAACCCTTGTCACTAGTAAACGGCATAAGTCGTTAGGCTCTTTAAGTGTGCAGTGTAATGCCGATCGGTTTTTGTAAGACGCCTTACCCGGGTTTTTACTAGTTGTTAACATTTGCCCTAAACGAAATAAGACCTCATTTCCGGAGAAGTGATAGGTCATTTATGAGGACGTTCGTACGTTTACGTCCATTCGTATGCATAATGATGAGTACGTTCTTTAGTATGTATTCAGTTCGTGTACGTTCATTGTACCCTCATTTGTTCAATATTTCGAATTAAAGTTCAATTTCCTTATCAAGTGTAGGTCTGTGATTACCTTTCTACAATGAAATCAAAAAAATGCCTCGATCTTACACGTTCTCATATCAATTCCTTTTTCCTTATTCCTTTTTCAAACCCTCATATTCAATACTTCCTGGAGTGGTATATTCAGTTATCTACCTATGATCATGATCATATAATTTATTCAATGATTCGAGTGAAATACAGAAAAGAATTTCCCCGAGAAGGTCTTTATTTTACGTACGCAATCCATGATTACAACACTAAGTGGAAAGTGAATATATTAAATCTAATATTTAATTCAATTTTCAGTGATTTGGTTAGGGCTTATGATGATGATTTCTGCAAATTTTAAAACTACGAAAAATGTATGGTACCAACAAAAATGTTAGACCTTCTTCTACAACATGTGAAAATATGAGAGGATTCCTGCAGGTTATAAGGGAAATATAGCCTGTTGCAACAGTTCACTCTTTTGGACCACCCTGAATATTGATTTTCAAATCCCCGGGCATATAGTTCTGATACCTGATCTAATATTGGATCCAATACGGGATCTGATCGAAATTTTGGCTGATACGGGATCTGATACGGAATTTTTATAATATATAACGATTTCAAAATCAAGCGAAATACTGTGTCTTTAGCTATGTATTTAATTTCTGAGCAACTATACCTTGTATGTTTGAGTAGATACAGAAAAGATTTGATTTCATATATAAATTCGTTTATTATTAGTTTGTGTTTAAACTTGCTAAACAATTTAAATGAAGATACAAATATAATTACTAAATAGTATACTGGTAATTATAAACATTCTATTCATACAATGTTTTGAAACTTTAATTTTATATAAAGGGGCATCTAAAAAAAACTAGACAACGGCAACGCCAAGGCGTGGCAAATCCAAGCAAACGGCTTTGGATGTCCTCTTTACAAAATTGCTTCACTGCGATTTTAGTAACAGTAAACTTCATAAAACAACATATTTCAAATGCTAGCAAAATTGTCAATAAACAAAATCGTTCTATTACTTTTTGAGTTATAGTAGAAAATGTAAAATAACACACGTTTAAATGGCGGCCCTCCCAACTTCATTTGGTGGGACAATGACATTGTTGACGGGGACAATCATATGTTACATGTACTTGGTGGAGAAATAACAATAATTATATGCCGACAAAAGGCAAATCGAAAGTGTATGCATAATGATACTAGAACGCATAGTCCATCATACTCGAAAGAGCTCATGCTTATTTTGAGTTATAGTAGTCATCAACTGGACCAGTTTTGTCAGAATCAATCTTTCCGAAATGATGGTAGGCATTATACAACGTAGACATCTGGCCACTTTTTTCAATCTTTCCTGCGGCAAGAGCGACTCCAGGCATGGACAAAGACTTATCAGCACCCAATCCTGGCATCTGGCCTTCTCCAGCGACTGTGTCCAAGAAACCAAACGCTGCACCAATTGGAGAAAACAACTTCTGGGAAAGACTATCATCACCTCTTGTTATGATTATTGCCTAAAATGGGAATAATTTGAGCTATTTAACAACATATGTACACATTCTTTAAATGTATGGACTAGACCTATATCTAAAATGCAAATATCGTATTCAAAGTTTTTATTATTTGTTTTATTCTCATGAAAGTATTATGTGCGATACAAGCATGAACAAATCTATATATGTATATTATCATTATAACATGCCCAATCATGTACACAAGAGAAAAAACTTTACCTTTGGAACAAAAATCAATAATACAGTCAAAATCGTTGTGAACGATATCAGAGTACCAGTGATGATAAACAGAACATTTGGCTCAGTTGGTATTAGGAATGAAATAACAACCGATACAATACTGGCCAACAAACTAGTGAACATGGATACAGCAAAACCAGAAAAGTGAGAAAACCCTTTCTTCATTGACATAAACCTGGAAAGAAGTAAAGCGCCATGGTTACATTCATGACAAAACAACTCAACAATACATGTATAATATATATTAATCAATTATTGAACATAATTATATTTTATATAAAAACAAACATACATAAAAATGTTGAATAACTACATGTAATATAAAATACTTGGCAAGATGGATGCATCTGGAATCAATCCGTCTTCCTACAAACTAATTCCCGATGCAGCCATCCTACACAATTTGGCATGGGGAATACTTAACCAACAATGGTGTTCGCTGTATGGATGTTTGACTCAGTCTGCTGCACAACCCCCGGAAACGAGTCTTTGTATTATTGAAAACGAGTCCTTGTATTTATTGAAATATGACTCGCACGAAGATAGTTGGTATATTTTCGGTATTTGCACAACAATTATGAGTCAAACATGAAAATGATAATTTAAAATCTTTGGGATAAATCCCAAAATAATGTGCCATGAAATGGTATTGTGCAATTAAAATGGTACATGTATTCCCCAAAGAAAGGTTTAGTTTATTTTCATTAATTTTGTTCATTATTTTAGAATAGTAATAGTACATGTAAAGCGTTATGTACCAAAGCAACACACTGCCTATGGAAGGCTGGTAAAGTCAACCTAGACATACCTTGTGTTAGATTTATCAATTATTTCGAATGGTGATACAGAAAAGAACTTTAACTTCAGAACTTACAATGCTGGCCAAACTATGAACCCCCCGAGCAACAGCACGATTGCTTTGTAGCATAGTATGGCGATAAGGAAATATGTTTTATACACCGATTCACATCCAATCATTACCGTTATTGTTCGAACAGATGTGTCGTCGTCAAGCTAAAATAATGCAATATGTACACAAAATACCAGTACTAGTAAACTATAATTTTACTAGTTTTTTTTTTGAGCTGGATTATGTCGTTACAGAGTATAGACAAAGAAATGATATAGCGAATGTTGAGGTAGTCTTTGTGTCAGAGGCTAGATATTTTGTTAAACATTTTTGAGCAACAATAAGTCACTGCGTTTTTGAATTGCCCGCGGCGGTGGTACATTGCGTAATAATAGGTAATCAGAGTTCCCCCAAGGCATCAAGAAAAATAACCGTAGAGCAATTTACATGATCGCATGTTTTGAACAATAAAAAAACTCATCACTGCGCACTTACACTCACACAATTGTTGTGAAAGACAACAAGGTTTATTGCAATCGAACTCCTGTGGTGCACCAGTGACACGCCGGCGCAGTTGACACACGCGAGCAGCCGACAAGGTTGCCACAGCGTTATTAGCGGTTTAAGTACGCTTGGATGAACTGCTTTTTGAAAACGTGTAAGCATGTAATTTGCAACGCATGGGCTCATTCTTTTTTGTGATATTAGGAATGAATACTTATTATATATTATGCAATGCACTCGCCCTCGAGCAGTTCAAAAACGTATGCTATTATGCCGTGCAGTGGTCACATTTGCTCCGATTTTTACTACGGCGCCCGGCCGGTTGAGTATTTTGTTCAAAATTGAATACAATATTGAACAAAATTTTCAATCGGCGGGGCGCCGGTCGATGGATCGGAGCAAATGTGACCCAGGCATTACATGGATTAAAATCAAAAGATTTTGAGGTAATTAATGGTCGGAAAATACCGCTACTTATATACCCGTATGAACTCACAGTTGAATCCAGTTCAATCGACATAGGATATAAAGGATCTATGACAAACCAAAGAGCAACTACTATGACATCAGCAACAATGAGCATGAAGAATATGAATACCAACCATCCTTCATTTATCACTTTCTGCAATAAAGAGGACAATGCTTTACTAATAAGTAGAAATCGGCAACATGACGGATTGGCAAACCAAAACGTCGAACGAAATGATTTATCTCTAAACCATTATTGGATGTTCTAAGCGATTCTCTTTATTTTTATTATTAAAGGCATACTTTGCGAGTTTTCAACATTTTTGTGCAAAATAAAGACTAACATTTAAATTTCATAGTTTGTCCAATGTAGTGATAAGAACCTTAAAACCTTTTATTCGAAACCAACAACAGCTCAAACGGACCACATCAAAGCTTACAATAAATTGTCAAAAAATGTTCAATCTGGCAAGCTTTATATATATAGAGTTTTTATCAATGTCATTGAAAGATGGCAACGTTGTTTGTATTCAATGATACATTCGTTTTTATAGAAGTGTCGCCATCTTTTAAATCAACAATAATTTAAAACATGCACTTTGTTTAACATGTGCATACATGTCAAATGATCTCTGAACTTCAAATGCTTTTTTCTTTGTGAGTTATTTTTTTCATGGTTCAATATTAAAGCAAATCAAACTTTGTGTCATATTTGAGCAAATGTGTGAGTAACATGTTCCACTTATTACTATATCATTTATTTTTTATTCCACTTCTTAATTAAGTATAGTGGGCCTTTAAGCTAAAAATATAAGCTGTGTAGGGTATTATATACCGGAATAAAGTGAGTAAAACAGCTAAAATTGATACGTTGATTTGATTATATTATATTAGATAACAGAAATATTTGATCAGACACAAAACACTATTGAAGATTTAAAATGCACATGTGTCCAAATTATTATCCTGCTTGTTGACTTTGATGACAATCTTTATACGTAGGATTTTGATGAGTATCTTTAAATAACAACTTGACTAATGGGACAAAGGAATAGTTTACATCTTTTGTCGAATCTTTTACTTGTCCCTTTGTCATATATTACTGCCCCAAAAATTTAAATCCATGAATCTTCAAAACTTACCTTCTTATTCTGACTGAAAAACTTGTAAATTCCCCATAACTTTACAGTCATCCCTCCGTACAAGAATGTGAATCCGAATATGAGAAGCCCAGTGGTTGCCTTTCAAATATAATTAAAATTACGTTACCATTTTATATTACAAGAGTTAAAAGTCTCAATCAATTAGATCTCTAGAGGTTCATATGTTTTGTAATTGCCCCAGCATATGTTTAGCCTGAAAAATATTCTCGAGAGGATTATAATAACACTCCATAGTCTACAAAGTCATAATTTTTAATCTAAGTCTTGCAATGTAATTTGGATTGAAACAATCATATAGTTATCGAACAACATATAAAGTAAGTTTGTTTCATTCATACTTTGCATAAATCTCCATGTAATGCCTGGGTCACATAGCCGCCGGGCGCCGGCCGATGAGTAGTCATCGGCCGATTTATAAATCGACCGGGCGCCGGTGACTTTTCACCGATGTCTTGATCTAATCGTGAGTATGGTCACATTAGTACAGGCATCGTACGGCGCCCGCAATCAATTGAATCTGAAAGACATCGCATGGGTATCGCAAGGCTATCGGCCGATGGCCGTACGGGACCCGCCAGGACATCGGTCGATTTACAGGCCTCTAGATTTATACTTAATCCCTGTATGACCCAGTATGACTGTTCCACATGGCGTGAATGCAACATTTGAAAACGAAATACTTTGATAAACAGGACTTCCAGGATAATAATGTTTTCATGCAATAAAAATCAGAAAAAGAAGATCCTCTTTTGAGTAAATAGGTTCAATATTTAGAAAAAATGTTTACATGGGGTCCCTATTCATCATTTTTCGAATTGTTTGATTGATATTTTTATCATCATGGGTACTTCAATTGAAAGAAAACATATTGTTTTAATAAAAACACTCTATTTGTGCCCAGAAGGTACTCATGGTGAAAGATATGACCGTCTAAAATCACTTGCCATACTGGACGTGGTCTTTTCATCAAAGTGCACCCTGATCTTAATTCATTTTTAGATCTTTCATATAAAAAAATACTATGTCTACCTGTCCATCCGATGCTATTAGCAAAATTCCCTATTTCTCCATCTTTCTTTCGTCTGTAAATATGGCTTCAAAGAAATTGGCATATTTCTTCTGTTTCAAGTGGAGTACCCGCTTCCCTATAGACACATCTAAATCTTCATCATCCACCAGCTCAGTAGCATTGTTATTGTCTTTTTCCACCTGTCTTCCCAAGGCCTTCCTCATATATGGCCCATTGGCCTTATCCCCTCTATCCTCAGCCTTTGGCATATTACGTTGTAATTGAGACGTAATTAATCGTAGTGAAATTGTGACCCTTGAAATTACTGTACTCACAAAAGCATTCCGAAGGTTTTTAAAATAAATGATTTGTAATGGTATATGCATGAGTGAATATACGCATAAAAATGTAACACTCTATTCAATGTGTATGACAGACATACACGATTAATGTCAATATAAGAACGACTAGATCAACCCACCCACCCACCCATTCAAATGTGTGCCATTGTTTTATATACAGTAAGCTTAATCGTTCCATTTATGTTTTATAAAAATCTCTGACAGTGTGTAGTAATTATAATTCCTTACCTCATTATTTTTAAAACCTTTATATCACTTTATAAGTAATCATTATTAAGATTTATCCAACAAATCAGCACGCAAAATCCAAAGATGACAGTGCGATGCCACCGGGCGCCGTAAGATAATCGTACGATGATCGGGCGGGACACGGCCGGGTAGGTACCGATGAGTTTGGTTGAGAAAAAATCGCCAAGACATCGGCAACTTTTATCTCCGCGATAAAACTCTGCCGGCGCCCGTACGATGTCTAAAAATCGGCCGATGAGTGGCGATCATCGCCCGGCGCCCGTACGATGCCCGGGCTCGCCGGCCGATTTTGAACAAAATACTCATCGGCCGGGCGCCGCAGTGAAAATCGGAGCCTATGTGACCAAGGCATAAGGGTTCTGGGTGTATACCAGTCTGTAGGTCACCGATGTGAATCAAGATATAGACGTCAAGTATGATACAACCAATAAGTATCACGAAAGTCATTATCGGCCATCCGTCTTTGATCATTCTGGAAATACATTTCGACCTTAGATCAGTTTATAGTTCTGAGGATTTCCAGAGTCCTCGGCAGTGAATCGATACTATGGATGTTCAGTTTTTATAAGACTTAGTGCTACTTAGTAATGACATGTGAACATACTATCTCCGAATTCTTCTATATAAATTATCTTCGTCCGGGCAATGTATAAATCTAGTGACATCTATTAAAGATGCATTCATATATGTACAACTCACATATGGTCCCGATGAACCACTGCGTAAATAATGTAGATTAATGCTAGTAATATCCCAATGCCAGCAAGTACAGAGAGCACGATTGTGACAGTCTTACTAATGCATCTGCGTTCGTATTGTTTTATTTCCTCGTCTAGTGGTGCAGATCCACCTAAAAATAGAATACACATTCGGAAAAAGTAAAAAGTTTTAATGTTTTGCTGCTAAATGTTTGATAATTAACATTGATACAAAGGCCGTACCTTTTGATTTCCAGACTACAGTATCTGGCTCAGTCATAAACAGCTTGCTAACGTTCTTGTCGAAATAGCCAATATCCGACAATTCCCCATTTGCTGAAAATATCAAAGTATGTACTGACCAGTCGAAATGTTGATACATGCGCAGACCTCTATTTAGTGATATTTTCATTTCAAATATGGCGGCCAATCCGATGTCTGACGACCCTTACAAAGAATCTAGGCAATTTGCATTTTTACCTCCTGTGAAATAACAAGTGGAATTTAGTAGTTGTTTTGTGTTTTATTATCATTCTGCATCGTAATTATATGTGATGTGGTGTTGAAATGTCAGCAGAAATACATATCCATACGATAATCGAGTGAATCAGATAACAGATTTTTCGAAAACCCGTCTCGTGCTAAGAGTGTAAAAACTTGTATTAACATGCTCAAAAGTGCCAATGTGCACATCAATGTCAAGCTAAATCAATGTTGTGTCTAAAACAGGTACCTGATCTACTCAAAACAGCTTGTCATTCACGTGTACACGCTTAGCAAACACGGCGAAATGACCTGAATCTTGGAATTTCGTTCGAGGGCTAGTAATGTTTGCTCCGGTCTTCGTCATAAGTGTTGATCAGACTTCACGCATGCGCAGGAGAAAAACCATCAACCAATAACGTTTATAAATCAAATTTGCGCATGCGCCTTACAACGGTAAAGAAATTCGTATTTATAAACGAACCAGTTTGAGATAACCCGATATCAGTCGGAGAAATCTGACGATCTACGAAACTCACTTCAAAAAATCAAATGCGGACTGACGGCGTATTCTACTATGTTTGGATCTAAGATTTTCAGTGTAGATAAAGTATTTTATGATCTTTCGAATGAGGTAAGTCTCTAGTTCGAAAGACAATCGTATCAACTTGAACAAAAGTTGAGTTTTGACGAAATTTTTTAACATGCGCAGAAGTCCCATTTTCGTTGTACCATATTGACTGTGACCTGTGTATTTGGAAGCATTTTGTGAAAAATTGAGTGACGAGTATGCTTTTAGTAAAATCAACAGAAGAAAGGACAAAAAAAGAATGTTAGAAAAGTTAAGATGAAACGATAGGCAATAAAGAAATCAACCATCAACAGCCTTAAACTAATGAGGAAGTTAAAAGTTACTGTACATTCTAAAGGGATCAATTATGACTAATTATTTGCATCCATAAGTGTGATATTCTTACGTATATGCGACGATTTATTACAATAGAAACTTTAAGCTAGCGATGTTTTTCACAACGTAACCGTGAACGCAAAATCAATGAATCAATACAGTAATGTACATGATGTATAGCGCGCATACAGAATACGCGCTTTTTAGTCTACTTCAGATTCCCGATAAGCTTCAGTTTCGTGTTCAGAACGGGAATTTTGCTATTTCACGTTGCTGTCAACGGGAATCATTATACTCATGTCTTCTGAATACTATGCTGGCAATTTTGATTTAGATACACAGTAAAATGCTTTCTGAAGAAAATGATGTATGTCATACATGTTTTAGCTCAAATATCTTACGAAACGAGCTTGTTAAGAATATGTATCATAGAAAACCAGCCATATATCTATCAATGGCATATTACACGATGATGTGTAGTCTAAGTAACGGGCTAAGTAAACACTGTAACTGGACGATTGTTTATGTTAGAGAACTACATGTATTCGTATAGGGCGATTAATACGTACAGGTTGATGTTTCGATTTTAAATGCATTGCTTAAAGTATTTAATATCACACCTATGGACGTGTAGAGCTGTGCAATAAATCAAGCCCTAATAATACGGGACGGGAATGATAAATATACAAGTATGAGTGAGTTGCGAAATTTCTCTATTATGAGATATATATTTATGCATTTGGTTGATATTTGATCGACGTATACCAATATATGTATAAGTGTAAGTGCTAAATTGAGACCCAAAGAAAAAATGATAATTAATCATAAGTTATATATATATTATTTCAATAAATCATGGCTTTTAAAGAGAATCTTCAAAGTTCATAGAGTAAATATCGTACTTACAATCGAAAAGTCCAATATGACTGTCAAACTGTCTAAGACCAGATACATTGTCATAATAGAAGTGTCCCTAAAACACAAAAATCATGTTTAAATAATAAAACGTTTAAGACTTTAGTCACGTAGTTTTGGTACAGTGTAAGATAAATATTGACGGCACTTAATTATATGTTTGTATAACACCGCACCTGTTTTTTTCGTTGCATATTTTTTTAAGTGAGGAAGATAATCAAACAATAAAAATTGGATAATGAAACTATTTTTTATCTTAACTCATGTCCATGAATATATGTTTTCATGTGGGTATACATGTAAATACATGTGTTCATGGGTGAAATGAAATTATTATTTACGAGTCATTTTAGAATCTCTATAGACATGACAATTTCAACTGCTTTGATTGAATGATAAAAATTGCTTTGTTGAAGAAAAATGTTTATTTTTGTGTTTTAGAGTTAGGGTTTATTTAAAAAGGTTAGCCGGTACGTTTCCAAACAACATACCGATGTCATACTGTAACGCAACTACGACACTTATGCATTCCATATGACTTCTAAAATACTTTTATTTAAAGACTTTTATTAAAGGGAAACAAAACTTGGACTAAAAGGATATAGATCTTACCGACATTCCTTGAAAGTCAACAGCAAGAAGATTTTTATAAAGTGAATCGAGAACTGGTTTGGTTTTGTTATCTCTGTGTCGATAATTCTTGACTTTTTCGATTCCATGCTTCTGAATGGATCCGTTTATTGATAGTGCTATTGCCCAAAGAGTGTCATATACCAGTGGATTGTAATAATTCTGCATTGCTTTTGACTTTGTAGCACCAAATGTCTAAAATCATGAAATAAATCAATTTATCCCATACTTGGACGTGTTACGGGTACATAAAGCCGGTTTGTAAAAACTTATATTTTCATCAGCGGGCAGATATAGCTTTACGTCCCGCTCCGAGCGGTCAGATATAGTATATCTGCCCGCTACGTCATAATCGCCGCTCGCATATTTGTTCATAATTTGTAACGTTCGCGTAATGACTGTAAACGACAATGGAGAAAACACAGACAATCGGGATCTGTTTGATGGTTTAATAAAAAGGGAAAGAGCATCCAATTAATCAATCAAAAATTCGAGAAAATAAATGTGGGAATATTTGAGAGAACAGGAAAATCCGCCCACGGCCAAGAAAACAAAACTGGACATGAATATTCTAAAATATTTCCACGATTGAACAATATGAACCAGATGACCAAGATTGGTATGGGATAAACATATTATCCTATAGTCGGTTCAAGATATTGGCCAATATAATATATTTTCCCTCGGGACCTGCGGCCCTCAGGCAAATATATTATATTGGCCTCGGGATAATCCCAATATCCTGAACCTCATATAGGATAATCTCTATGTATATACACACTGCACTGCAAGAACGTTACTGTGAAAATTGGCCAGTTTTCATTACTTCAGTTTTTAATGAATATAATTCCATAGTTTTACTGACAACTGCATATGAGCTGAAAAAGAATAGCACTGTTCTCTGACACCACGTTTCGTTACAATACTTTAAACATGCATTTTAGAAATGAAGTTACGTAATCAAGTTCATATTAGGTAAGATATATAAGGTATGTATATATAAGTATGTTCATTGTCTAAAATCAATTTGACTATTTTTTCCAGGATGATATCACAGGTACTTGCCCATTCAGGAGCAGTGTATCTTGCAATTTTGCATATCCCGAAGAAACCGATTGGCATTAAATAGTAGTATTTATTTTACCTTTTTTGTTGAATAATGTGTTTTATTGCGATACACCCCGAGAAGAGATGTTATCTTTTGAGAACAGCCCATGGTTCCTTCGAGAACTTTCAATATGTCAGTTTTACTACATCCATATTTTACAGGATCATCCCAATCTTCTTCATATTTTTCTGTGAAGTAGTAGGCCAGTAATACATGGTGTCTTCCGTAGAAACCAAGTTTATGTAACTTAAAAGAGGAAGTGAGCATACAGATGAGAAATGTGAATTCTGATATTTTGGCTAGTAGACGGCCATTTTAGGTGTTATTTTACATTATCTATAATACATATAACTCAAAAGTAGTGGAGCGATTTTGTTGAAATCTATATGCGACTACTTAGAAGCATATTTCACCTTCTTATGACAATTCGACCAGTGAGTGGCCATTTTGAAAAACATCCATCAGTTTTGCGTGTGTTTTGCTAGCCGGAAAAATAATAAAGTAATTTTGTTATTTATATGTGAATAATTAGAAGCATGTGGCACTTTATTATGACAAGTTGAGCGAGTCGTTATTTTAAAAATGGCAGCCATTTTATTTATGTTATTTTTCGTTGTTTGCTTACTAGAGAACTAGTAGAGCAATATTCTTGAAATTTTAAATGTGAATACATAGAAGCATTTCACAACGTCAGAAATCGCAAAATGTTCGATGGGATTTACAACGTCTTAGCTTTGCGGTTAATAGCATATTTTGTATTTTGATCACAGCAATACAAAGCTTTATCACCAGTGGTTAAGCAAATCATAGTTGGAATTCCAGCAGATAGAATAATATATAAGAAAATTACAGTTATTCATCACATCATTTTATCAAATTTTGAAAATAATGTTCAGTGTAAGGTGTGGAAAAAACAAACATGAAATGGAAGATAGAGTGAGTGGCATTTTTATCATTTAGACCGTTCCTCATATATATTGAACGTGATCTAATTCACCATTTGTTTTAATTGATAGAAATTGTGTTTAGACCATTTGAAGCGTACATATTGTGTTGTATGAAAGATGCTTTCAGTGGTGATGTCTCAAACAGAGAGATTTGGAAGTTTTTCATGAAATTCGCAGTACACAGACCACGAGCATGAAAAGCCAAAATTAAATAGTTTTATATTTAGCATTTTCAAAAATATATGCAATAATAAAGGCAAATGAAAAATAGAAAATATTCCAATTTTTGGCCCATCTTGTACACATATCGTATCTAAACCGAACAAAAATATGTAAGACATGACTGTAAATGCCAATATGTCATGGCTTTTGGATAAAAATACATTAAAAGCAGTCGACAATACCTTACATAGAAGCCGTCCAAGGTCACTCGAAAGATACGTGAAAGATACGAGAATCCGAATATCCTGCAATTTATATAAGAATGAATGTCTTGGAAAACATCGAATGGTTAGATAAATTGAAACGCCTCGTGGCACAAGCCTACTTCGCATCCCTTCTATCTAAAGTACACTATTAAGTGGGGTCCTATAAATCCATGTTGCAATCAAAATAGGTCAACAAATATTTTTTATGTTATATAGGTTGTTATGTTATGTTCAACTATCATGTTATGTTCAACTATTGTTTCTTGACCAGGATTTTTTACCAGCCCCTTGAAATTCTATGTCGGTTGTAATATGTAATCGGAGATATTATTTGAAATCTTTATAATTGGTTTGATGATTGATTTACCTTTAATGGTTCCCAAAGTACTTCAGGTGATTCGGTATTAAAATCAAATAGAATGTCAGCATTTATAGTAGCGCTTATATTTCTTAGCTCTTCCTTAAATACATCAGCTGCCTAATAAAAAGAATGAAAACAATCAATTATCAAAAGAACAAATATTATGTCAAGGTGAAACGGGATTTCCTTAGGGATGAAAGTAATGTTTTTTTTCTATCAATTGTGTATCTCAAGCCTCCTGAGATTAGTTTTTCGGAAAACGGTTCTAGGTTAAAACCCAAAAAACATAATGACACTGATTTGTGTTGAACTTGATAACACATATCTAACACCCCAGTCACATTTGTCGCACGGCGGCCGCAGATCAATTAAATCGGTGAATTTCTGCTGCGAGCGTAGAAAAACTACGCTCGCCTTGCGGCCTCCGTACGGCGTATCCAGTTTTTTACAGGCCGCAGGGTCGTCGTAGAAATTATAACTCGGAGTTAAAATATTTGTTCATTTCTGAGGTTCCCGTAGAAATCAACTGGCTCAACAAGATTGAATCATTATTTGTCAATGTTTCACGATCACTTTTCATTTGATATTACATCCTAGCACTTTGAATAACATTTATAAATTGTCCTGATGTAAATAAAATGAAAAAAACTATTATTTATCAACAGAAATTTAAAATTCACCGTGCGGCTGCCGTGGGAAATGTGACTGCAAAAGTATGAGAGCGCAGAAATTCTGCGGCGAGCGTAGAAAAGCTACTTGCCGCAGAAATGATAGACCGCAAGGTCGCCGTAGGAAATGTGACTGGGGTGTAAGTTCACGTTTGTTGTATTTTATGTATCTTTCCGTGTACAGGCGGACCTTTTCATATTTCAATTTTGCAATATTAGTGTGTTAACCTAAATAATACGTCACAAGTCTGTTTTGTCTAGCTCTATTATGGATAGACATATCGTCTGTTTTAAATGGGCGCATAAGCCACATGTCAGTCAGACCACGACCATGAATTCAAAACTTTTTGACAGCTTCAATCGTTATTGAAGCTGGCGTATACAGAATAGAAAAGAAAACGAGTGTATCAAAAAAACTGTAAACAAGTCCATATAATTCTATCAACATTTATGATGTTTTGTACAAGTATTATTAACTAAAGAGCAACACACGGCACATTTACTAAACAACCTATTTCTGTAATTAATATATATTAGACAAATTAAAAATTCTTTTGGTCATACCTTTGCCAAAATGTCATCATTGATAGTGAAAATACCTATCTTGTTCCATTTATAATGCTGTATAATCGCATTAAAGGTATGGGAACAATCGGAGCCCAATGCAACAAACTTTGTGTAATAGTTGTACGACTGGCGCTTATATTGTGATTGTACAGAAAAGCTGTTCTGAAAATGAACATAAACTGACATTACTATGCAAGTATGAAGTACGTATGAAACATTTTAAGTGACTTTAATTAACGTGGAGAAAAATCAGAAAATAGACATATTAATAAACAGGCAGTTGACGACTGTCACACTTATAACACAGCATCCTTGTATTCGCTTAAAGATCCTTCACTCAACGATAAACATGTCAACCAAACAATCATTATAATTTCTTAGAGATAATGATTTATTACTTTAATGACATACCAATATACATCCCCATTTACTACAGACGGGAGCTGTAGATGACTCTCCTACCCAAAAGTTAAACATAAACGGGGTATCACGTCCTTGGTAGATATATTCCCATTGTCTGCTGTGCACAGTAGCGATGGAATCGTCCTGAATTTAAGATTAGATATTTTCTGAGTTTAACATTTATATGTGTTGTTGTTTGAATTAGCTTGAGCTCGTTAATGCAACTAACGACTAGCGGCTACCGGATTACCTTACTATTTTATGACCAATTCATTTCAATACGAATCAAAAAGTTGCAGGTTCTATTCATATTCAAACGAATAAAATACCAATAAAATAGGAGGTTAATCCGGTAGCCGACATGCGTAAGTTGCATTCTCCAATACAAACTGAGTAATGATAAACTGACAAAATACTTCACGTTTTTATGATCAACCGGAATTATCCCTAGAGTTCCTAAGCAGGAATTTCTAAATACAAGTACCATTGATATCTATATGAATGTTCATCGGCATGTATTCGACAATTAAGGTACACATACAATGGCGTAGCCAGGATTTGGTGACCAGGGGTTCTATTTTTATGTTATCCAAAAATCCCCCCCCCCCCTTCATCGGTGTATCTCACATAAAAGCAGTTTGACAACCGTAACACCCCCATTGAGCGTTTTTACTAAAATATATTGAAATCTGGGGGCAAAATCATACATTTTAATATAACATTTGTTTAATGAAATCCAAATCAAGGGTTAGCATACATTGAGCTAACTTTTGTCAAGGGCAAATCCTAACATATCTTTAAGGAACATCTTTTTTAACAATTTATTCTATTTTGAAAATCCTCATTCCTTATTCATTCTTTAGAGTTCATTCAAAGATATGTCAAATTCTGAAACATGCAATTCCCACACTTTAATACTGAGATTAGATGAATTTTTTGAAAAGATTCCAAATCAAAAGATTTTTATTTCATACCTCATGTGCTCCGTAAGCTATAAAATTAAACATTTATTTTAAATTTCAATGCCTTGCAACAAAAAACACCTAGTGCTGAAAACACCTATTTGTTCTTTCTTTGAATTGAAAATAAAAAATAATCTGTACTTAATAACTTTGAAAACATTCCATTTTCTATCACCGTTCCGCTGTTTTTATTACTAATGACGAGAATCATGAACGTTTTGAGAAATGAAAACATTTTAGATGAATTTGTGAATAATTATAAACTTTAATTTGTTTTTGAGAAATGAACATTTTAATATTTTCTTAAAGAATGCTGTCAAATCCTTTTTTGGACACACGATTTGAAACTTGTGCAAGGCTAATCCTCTGTCTTTCTGGCAAATACACTCCCCTCCAAAGGTTTGGCAACCTTAGCTCCCTCAATGAACTATACCAGTACGTGTTAAAGACTCTTTATTTTTGAATTTTTATTTACATAACCTGTGAGGAAAATACTTATAATATTGATGGAAATGTAACTTGACTTCATTTCCAATGCCTCCAAAATTTCCGAATTTTCCCCCTGATTTCTATAGATCGAAAATTGATGATAAATTTGATGAATTTTTGAAAATCGTCATTTGCATGTTAACCAATGGGCTCTATATTTAATAATTAGGAGATCAGATTCAACCGCAGGCCATCTGTAATTGGGTCTTTGAAGTTTAAAAATCTCGATAATCCGTTGGCGATTATCAGTGGGTCAGTTTTTTAGAAAATAAAAAGCGATTATCAGGAAGCAATGCATATTGCTACACCACGTGATT